TGATCCCTATGGCGCAGCAGACCTCTCCTGACCTGCCCGCTGCTCCCCTCAACAGTGTACTTTTATCTGCCTACCCTGCTCCCTACTCTGTCTCTGGTGAAGCCTCTCACTGCCCCTGCACCTTTGGTGTGTACCCCAGTTCTGTATGCATAAATCAATCTTTAAAACAACAAAATAAAATAAACAAATAGTGTGAGAACAGTTTAGTCAAAGGAAAAGTCCCACAGCCTAAAGAGCTACCAACTAGGAACAGGTATATCTCACTTTTGAGATTGCCAAATCCCTTCTGAGAAAGGTTATTAACAGAAAACCTTATAAAAGAAAATTGTTACATATAGCATTCCACAAATACAAGTTGATGTGGAAAACATGTGGGTACCATTCTACTTCACAATCAGAATTAGAAATGAGAAAGCAAATCTCAGAAGTTACAGACATAATACAAGCTCAAAAAAGTAATCAGTGGCATCAAGATAGCCATGGTGAAACAACTCCTGGACTAAAATGTTCAGGCAATGTTAAAGGCAGGTTAAAGTAATTCAAACACATAAATGAAGCTGCAGATCCATAAAGTCAATGGACAGTTGAGTTAGAACGCGGTTTATGTTGCTATGGCTTAACTCTTCCATCATACATTATTGAGAACCTCCTATTTGTCAGGTATCCTGATGGGTGCTGCTGAAAATGGAGGCATGAATTAGGTGGTCCCTCCCTCCAAAAGTCCCAAATCTAGTGACTCAGATAGGCTCACATGCAAGAAAGATAAGAATTGTATTTGAGGCATATAGACATATAGTTCAGAGAAAAGCAATTGTTACTAGAGTTCTCACTAGATAATTCTGATCATCAACAGAGGGGATCTGACACCTATGGCCAATGGGCCCTAAGATAACTAGGGATCTGAACCAAAAGCTTTTCACTCTACCTTCCTCTATCAGTGGTAACATGTAGTATATATATGCAATGGAAAACAGAACACTAAAAATAGCTATTAAAAAAAGATGAAACTGGCCCTCCCTGGTGGCGCAGTGGGTTAAAGCACAGCACTGAGAATCTGGAGCTGCTTCCGCATGAGTTCGATTCCCACCTGCCCCGGAGGTGACCACATGGTGTGGCAGACCTCTCCTGACCCGCCCGCTGCTCCCCTCAGCAGTGTACTTCCTCAATCTGCCTGTTCTGTTCCCCACTCTATCTCTGGTGAAGCCTCTCACCGCCCCTGAGCCTCTGGCCTGTATCCCAGTTCTGTATGCACAAATAAATAAATCTTTAGAAAAAAAAAAAAAAAGATGAAACCCTGCCCTTTTTTTCGCAACAACATGGATGAACCTAGAGGGTTTGTACCAAGCAGAGGTAAACAAATGCCACTTGATTTCACTGATATGAGGTATATAAGGAAAACAAACTAATAAATTAAAACCAAAAAAAAAGCTTTTAGACTACAAGCCCAGTTAGTGGTTGCCAGAGGAAGTGGGGAAGGGAGTGGGTAAAGTGGGAAAAGTGGACAATTGCAGGTGAAGGGTAGAATTTAATTTTAATAGCAAACTTAATGTAGTATACACATATCATTAGTCAGTGAATTTTTGTACTGTTATAATGCTATGTTAGTTCAATTTAAAAAAAATTTAAAAGTTACACTTGCTGCACTGTAGTTCTCACATTTATACCAGAAAAAGGTAGACTCCGATTTTGATTATCACGGTTTGTCTTTGCAGTTAAGTTTCTTAAAGGTCAGGATCTGAATTAAGATATGAATGAAGAGACATTAGGGGCCAGAAATTGAAGGAATGTGTTTGCTAAAGGGAAACAGTTGCATGAGCTGAGGCATGAAACACTGGAATCATCAATTTGACCTGTGAATGACACTGTAACCTAGAACTCTGAATTCACTAATGGCATAAAATATTCTAAATGGGCAAAATGAAAATGAGTGTAAAATAAAAATGTATAAAAGCTTAAACAAAAATAACATGAATTATAAAAATGTTTAGAGTACCAGAGAATACAGTAACATTTAAATTACATATAAAGTAAAGCAGATCTTACACTTTTAACAAATACACTGTCAAAATATATAAGAAATGAAGAGAAGTAGCTTCATTTTAAAAAGGAGTCTGAATATCCATAAACCTTTCCCTATATTTGTCTTTAAAATGTATATATGCAAGGGAAATTTCTTCTTTCACGTATTTAAAAAAGGTTATATTAAAAAAAAAGAGATTGGCAGAATTGCAAGAAAGAAGCAAGACTTCAGAAATTAAATGAGACTGAGTTTCTTCAAATGAGGGTGCCATATTCCAAACTGTTTATTGCAAGAATTACTGAGCAGTGCACTCACCCATCCAGCCATCCGCCATCCATCCAAATATATATATACTTAAGAACATACAGACATACATTTGACCATACACAATCATTCCTACTAAAAACACAGTAGCATAATAAGAGCCAAGAGGAACATAAGGATGAATGAGAAACCAAGTCTTCTTGCTTAAATGGGGAAACAAAGCTCACATTCTTATAAGGAAGAGGGACGTATCACCATCATATGGGGCGTGAGTGCCACAGATGCCATGAATAGAAGGTCTAGCAGCACGGCATGCTGTTCAAGGACAACAGTCTCACTATGGAAACATACTAGCCAAAATGCCACAGTGAATGCCACCTCTTCTCACTAAGCTTCCATTTCATTGTGTGTGTGTGTGTGGGGGGGGAACACTCACTTCATAGGTTTGTAAGCGAAGACAATAAAAAGATAATGAAAAGAAGGAAAGGCATGGGCCATGCAAACTGACCGCATGTTTGAGAGTTACCCCCTATCAGCAGGAGCAGTAACAACAGAAGCAGAAAATTGACAGTCCTTGACTATGATATGTGGAAACCAAGGGAAGGGAGTGATACTTATGATTTAGACCATGCCAAGCTCTTTTGGAGAAGCTGATTTAATTTCGACAGGTAACAAAAAGGTATGCGATGGATTTTGACAGGTAACAAAAAGGTATGTGATGGCATGTTAGGAAAGCATAGAGTTGAACCAAAAGATGTAGAGTACCAGACTATGCCAAAGTCCCTAGAGAATAAGAGAGAGAGTAGACGAACCTTCCATTTTATAGTGAAAAGGTAGGATATTTCAATGCAGGGAGAGCCAATTTCTAATTTATCGTATTCTGAATGCTTCTGTCTTCCTGTCATATGTTCCATTTATTATCCTACTTATGTAGGGAGCATGCCCCCAATCTGATCCTGGAGCATTTACAGAGAGCCATGCCTACTACAATTGTACCCTACTCTGAAAGGGAATCTTACTCTGTAAGGGATCTTTGGTATGACGGTTCATACCAAAGAGAAGTCCTTTTACGTTCTCCCCCAAATAGGAGACAAAACTACAATCCTCCTCGCAAGTACACAAGAGGAAACAGAGAAAGCAAATGAGGAAGTCAACTCATATCCCCTCTTGTCCTTGTGAAGAGGGATTCTTTTCCAGATCTCATTTCCAAGTTCTGCAATCACTAACGAATGATGAGCCAAAGAAAACCAGTTCCTCTAAATCTCTAATTAACTACAAAGGTACAATTTCCTTCAAGGGCAATAAAACTTCCGGCATTGCCATGGAGATCTGCAGAACACCAAGGGCTTCATGTATTGTTTTTTTCACAGCAGCTTTCTCATGGCTTTGTTATAGCCCTTTCTGAAGAAAGGATACCCCAAAACTCACAGCCTCAGTGCAGGCATTTATGCGAATGTCTTTCTTCCCTACACCTGCCTCTGCACCCAACCACCATATAGACCCTGGTCATGTAGATTAGGCTTCTGTCCTAAAATAGTAATAAACTAGTCAAGTGTTCACTGAGACAGAGAAAGGATTAAAGAAAGAATTCCATCAAAATATAAAATATCTTCATAGAAAATTATCAAAACAAACACACTAAAATAATCCAAGTAGCAATGAGAAACAGTATGTAGAAAGATCATTTTTTTCAAGTAAGATATGGGGGGGGGGGAGAAGTAGAGAAAGAGGTGTTGAATCTCCTTTCACTGTCTTTTTCAGCAACCAAAAGTGTAAAATTCTTGTTGTTAAACTGCAATTTACTGTTTCATGAATTCGGATAAGCTGACATTGGTAAAAACATGGAGGACTGACAGTACAGTTTCCTTTACGCTGCCTGAGGGTTTCAGCATGACTGTGTCCATACACATTCTCCTGAGGTGCTGAATTCATACTGATCTTTGAAGTCCTCTTAATAGAAAGTTAAAACCACTTCAACCTGGCTTCAGTGCAACTTGTCTATGAGCTTCAACAAATGCAGATCTCATAGAGATCTTCACAAGACTTTATACTACAGCAATCTAGGGAAAGAAAAATACCATGAACAGGCAAGAGAATTCCAGGGGCATTATTAGTTGTGTTTTCTATGGGTTTTCCATCAGATCACTGTACAGCAGTACCTTGTGACTTTTATTCAATGGCAGGAAAGTGGGATTCTTGAATGGCACACAGTCATGGTTGCTTATGGAGGGGACAGGTTAGCAAGTTTGTGGTTGCTTGAAGGTCACACAGTGCAATCACATGACCCTTGATGGTACAGCCTACTACACATATACATTATATGTTACTGCCTATTGGTACCTCTCTCATACATAAGTCTTATTGCTTACTGACTGCTATTAAGTAACTCATGACTATACACATGTTTGCAAGACAATGTGATGGGTGTAGAATGAAGTCAGTTGAAAGGCTCTGCACTATGTAGAAAGAAACCAGGGTTCTAGTTTCAGCTCGAATCCTAGTTCACTGCTTAGTCATAGCATTATAACCCTTAAGTTCTCAATGTCTTGATCACTGGAAGAAGGCATGATCAAGATGTTGCCTGGGTGTTCTTTACTCCTATGATAACCACTAAAAATAATTGCGCTACCTTTTTCAGATAGATTGTACGATTTATGACATTTATTCAGTTGAACTTTCCCACATGGAAATCCAACTCTGAAATCCTTACACTTACCTTCACCTCCAGGCTGTTTGTATGGGTTGTACTTAGGTTTTGGAGCAACTACTGGTGCAAACTTCTTGGGTGGTTGTTGTGTAGACACTGAAATGCTAGGGGTCCCAAAGGAATGGGTGGTCTCCATCCGTGCAGGTACATGGCCAAGGGGTTCACCAGTGCTTTTGGGTGGCAGCCAAGATGGGTGAGACATTGTTGGAATCTAGAATTAAAAGAAACAAGTGTGAATGGTTCGTATACAAGCATGTAAATGGAAAAAATATACCTCATTTGATTCTTATTTTACTCTATATTTAGGGATTTTTTAAAAAATCTGAGAAGATGAAAAAGACAAAAAGAGAAAGAAGGAAGAGAAGTGGGAAGAGAAAAACCTGAACATTCCTCCCAACAAATTTTGAATATTTTCTTCCAACAGTTTCCTATTTTAGTGCTAGTATTTTTTTTTTTTTTTAAGGAACTAGACATGAGTAAGAAGTGATAACTAAATGAAGGAATTTAAATGGCAGGGGAATCATGTATCAGTAAGGGTAGAGAAAAGCTTTAGTTTTATTAATAATCTATTAAGAACACCAACTAAATGGTGATTTGTTACCTAAACAAGATGATAGTTATCTAACTGGGGGGCTAAAAAAGTGTTGACAGGATGCAGAAAAGAAACAGGATGAATTTTGCTAGAGCAATACAAAGGAAAAATGTCAGCCTGGGTGTGATTGTAAATATAGTTCACTCCTGAACTACCTTAGCAATGCTACACAGGCAGAAAGTGCAAGAACTTAGATTTAATGTGGCTGAGGAAAAAGTAGCTTGCAAAGAACAAAAAATGGGGATGGAGCCAAAGCACACACAACTCTATGCTTAAGTTTGAGAGTACTGAATATATCCGCTTAGGCATTAGAAACCACCAAAGTTTATTCTTGAGGGCAGGATACTTTAAAATGAAGGGTGTGTAAGAGAACACCACACTATGGTGGAGGATTATGGGTATTTTGGCAGTGGGAAAGTGACAATGACCACCTAAGGGACAGATTCTATATTTTCAAAATAGTAATGAAGAGTTAAAATACAGTACTTCACCAATTAAAAAAAGTTAAGGCAAAATAAAGGTCTTAACTATTTTATCAAGCATATAAGTTAATGTGTGACGAGGAGCAAAATCTAATAAATTGTGCAATGATGAAAAGCTGATTTATAAATAAATACAGAATTATCTTCCTGGCGAGAGGAGTTCTGCTCCTTATCTAAGGGTGCTTGGCCTTGGCTTTTCACCATAATGCCTAGGAAACTGACAGGCATTAGTGGCCAGGGCTGGAACACAACACCTGTAGTGCACAGCTCAGCCCCACATTGCAAATATATGCTCTACTAGGAGCTATGCTGAGCTGATTTTATATTGAACCTTAAAAAAAAAAAAAAACCTTACCTTAAGGAGTTAAGGAGAAGGGGGAGGTTTAAACCAGCCCATCCAACCCAGCCCAGG